AGTGAGCCAGCCGGGATGGTGCTCCCCAGTCTCCCAGTCGGGGAGGCTGCACCCAAGGCCTCCTGAAGAGGCAGGGGGTCATGCTGGGCAGACAACTGGACGGGAGAGTCTGCGGGCTTGCCCAGTGACACACCATTAGTGAAAAATGGTGACAAGAACATGAGTCAGGGCAGGGATTCCTGTTCTTGCCACTCACTGTTTTATTCCTAGTGCTTAGAAGAGTCCCTGGCACATATGTGTTCAATCAATATTTGTTGAATAAATGACTGATTGGATGACTGAGTGTCTGAATGAATAAAAGTTAGCTTCAAAGCCCACGCCCTTTCAATTCCGTTCCCCTGACTTCAATCTTTGAGTAGTGTGTGTGTGTGTGTGTGTGTGTGTGTCAAATAAAATCAAATGAAAAATTGAGTATCATCTTTTCTTTATAATAAACCGTCAGTAAAGTATAATGATAGCTATTTATGATTCTCTCTCTCTCTCTCACACACACACACACACACACACACATACACACACACTCACTCTAAGCCACAGAAATATATAGCTTTACTGTTTTATTTACTAGAAGACATACAGGTTTTGGAAAATAAATGAACATCTTACCTGAAAATCATAACTTTACATTCTCAGAATTAGATTTTGGTTAACTGGTAGAATGAATTTGTTCTGTGAATTGAATAAATTAAATAGCATAATACAAGGTGGACTGAAGAAAACTGTGGTTGGTCACGTGAGGAAACGTGTGCGCACAGCCGGTCGTGTGTGCAGCTGCCCAGAGGCAGGGAGGGAGCCTCTGGAGGTTTCTAAATGCAGGAAGCCGGCACTGGACGTGTGCTTCTGGAAAGATCCACACTTAGCTTTATATTCTTCCACCTAAACGTCTGGGGCCTCTCTTTTTCACAAGAAACGACGGCTGATTTTATCTTTATCTGTTACTGACACAGACCCAGCCATTCGCTGTAAAGTAGGACAAAAGCCAGCAGAGGGATGGAAGAAACCCAAGATAGATCTTTCTTGAACTGATTTATATCAGACGTATAAACAATGCCAGGTTTGAAAGAAAAGTAGACAGGCAAGCATCTACTGAAGACAAGAGCAAGGAACGATTTTTTCCTTCTCTTTCTTGTCCCCCCCCACCCCCCACCTCCATGCCCCTCTTCTTTTTTCCAGTCCAGATCCTCAAAGCAAACACTGCAGGAGGTGGTGGCCCACGCTGCAGGGGACCGTGGGCTCTCTCAGCTGCACGTACACCCGCTTCCTGGCTTCCCACCCAGCGCCGGCCCCTCTCCTGTTACGCAACACGTTTTATAATGCAAGTCACTGTCTGCAACATGGCTCGTTATTTTCCTCTCTGAATAAAATATGAACACATCAATTACGTGTCAGTCTGTTTCTAAATGCATACCCTTGTCGCACTGACCTCTTTCTGCTTTCATATTTCAGTACATTCCTGACATTTGTCAACTGGGCTAGTTCCAAACCTTCCCTACCTATTATCTTATTATTTCAGCCCTTTTCAAACTTTCTCTTCTATCTAATTAGTTCGACCCGAAGGCTCCCGGGGGGCGAGCCTGGCCTCGCAGCCGCGGGCACTCACCACTGCTTGTAGTCCGCGTCGCAGTTGCAGTAGTACTTGGGGTCTGTGCAGTTGCGCTCGATGCCGCAGGCGCATTTCTGAATCCCGGGCCCGGAGCCCCCCCAGTAGTAATGCTTTTCGTTGGCTTTGCCAACCCACCAGGTGTACGGGCTCCCGTCTGCGAAAAAGGGGAAAGGCACGTTTACAAACAGACCCGGATTCAGTCATGGTGATGCCACGCTTACACCCACCTCCCCAGGAGCAATATTCTCTCATAGGCTGAACGCCATGCAACCCTCTTAAAAGTAAATTTATTTCAATAATAGAAACATTTAATAAAAAATATCAAAGGGAACCGTAAGCTCAAGTTCCCCCGCTGGGATATGTACCTCTTTCCTTGGAAGAAATTTTACATTCAAGCTTCTGCAATTTAGGAGTGTATTCAGTAAGTGGGAAGCCCAGATGGGGTCAGTCCAAAATGAAAGCACATAGGCCAGGAATTGGTTCTACAATATACAATTCACTGCATGACTGCCATGCTTTTCTGTCAACTAATAGTCATGGAGATCATAGATTATTAGAGCTAAGAACAGACTTCCACTGTTTCAAAGTATGACCTCCTAATTTTATGGGTAAGGAAACGTAGGTCTAGAAAAGTTAAGCAATTCTTTTAATCACACAGCAGCTTAGCCTGCAAAACCAGAAGCTCAACACTATATTACACAACTCATTGTACAATGTTCTTTATATCATATTCTTTCCCTAATTATTTGGCCTAATATTCACTCATTTATTCATTCATTCATCCAAACATCAGACATCCATCGGGGTCCATTGTAAGCCAAACATTATAAGAAACTCATCAGAAAAGTGGAGGGGAAAGATACAGATTAGGATACAATTTAATCAATATTATGAACACAGAGGAGGGTGGGTGAGGGGAAGGAGGTCATGAGGGAAGGTTTCCCAGAGGAGGTGAAAAACCTGAACTATGTCTCGGAGGTCGAGTGGGCATTACCCAGAAGAACAGGACATGAGAGAGGTGGAGGCCCCTGTGTAGAGGAAGCAGAATGTAGAAAGACAGAGGGGTAGAGTTCTCCATGGAAAACAGATGTAGGACTTCATGCATCTGTACAACAGGGCTGGAGGGATGTGTGAGAGGGTAGCAGGAGTGAGTAGTAGTAGACAGTAGATGAGAGCCATATTGCAAAAAGTCTTTGTCCAAATAAGAACTTATTTTGCCTTGGTTCATTCTTGCTTCTTAATGCTTATTTTCCCCCAACTTAAGAAGTCTGAACTTTATCTTAAAAATATTGGGAAACTGTCAAAGGATTTTAAGCAGGTAATTATCACGGTCAGATTTGTGTTTTCAACGATCGACAGGAAGATGAAAGATGGATTTGTGTGAGATGAAGTCAGGGAGGCCAGATGTGATGCTCTTATGTTAATACAAAAGAGAAATAACAAAATAGGAGCAGAAATGGAGAGGAAAAGAAAACAGAAGGCTCATGAGATATAGCTGGCTTGGGACTGTTGGGATTTGGGTTGGGCAGACGGCATGGTGGACTGATCCTAGGCTTCTGGGTGGGTGACGAAGGGAGGTGGTGTGCTTTCTCAAGGTGGGACAGAGAGAAGGAAGAGCGTCAGAAGTGTAGGGGATGTAGAAGAAAAGGCAATGGGCTTGATACATAAAACAGGCAATTGGCTGTAGAAGTCTGGATCTCAGGAGCGTTTTCTGAGCCGAAAATCCATTTTAGGGACCATCAGCTCAAACTAGAACATAGTAGAAGGAGGAGAGATAGATACCACTGGAATATTTCAGATTACAGCAGCATTTCAAAAGCAGCACGAGGGGAAAATGACCACAGTGGAGTTCAAGAAAGAAGGCAGCTGGAAGGGGTGGGGAAAAACAGGGGAAGGGGTTCCCAAAGAGCAGAGGGGCTGGCGTCATCAGATTTCATAGTTAAGTCCATTAAGATGAGAACTTAAGAGTTTTCTTTTACTTTGACAGCTAGAAGGTCACTAGAGACTTTGTTGCAAGGAGTTTCGGGTGAATGGTGGGAAGAAAAGCCCGGAAGTAGCAGGTGGAGAGGGGAATGGAAAGGGAGAATGATAGGGAGGCCCTGATAAAGGACAACTTTTTTCTTACTTTCATTTGAGTGTGGTGAGAGCACGTAA